TTTCTCTTTTAATTTTAAAATATTAAGTACATAAAAACATTAAACATAAAGAGGATCGTTTTTCCTTATTTTAAGGTTCTTATTATTCACATATTAATATTTTATGTATATAAATACACAAACACACTTATATAATATAAAAAGGAAACCTTAACATTTCAATTAAATTTCTTTCATAAATCCTCAGATTAAATTAAAATTTCAAAGGTAAATTATTATGTACATATTATTGTCTTATTCTTCCCCGCCGTAATAATCTCTTTTACAATTGGATTTTTTAGTCTTTCTTTCCTATTTATTCTTCTACTGTTCCTCATCCCTGGTATAGATGAATTGTTTCATATTGATTATTGACAAATATTTTTGTTAAACAGAGAAGTAAAATAAATTAATTTTATTATGTAAATTGTACATAACTTATCAAAACGGTGAACACGCAGGTAATAATATTGTCCAACCTCGAATTAAAAGATGTTAACGCGGCAAAAACTGAAAACAAAATGAATATTTTTAAGATGCACGCATTCTTATATATATTTTCTTAAGGAAAACCAAAGAACCGTCCGGCCTATCTAAACAAATTAAAAAAACTTTACAACAGCCAAATTTTATGTGACAAATTTATTTATTCTTGCTCAATACTTAAAAGGACAGCTTCCCAACACATTTTCGATTTCTAACAGTAGTAGTTCGATGTCCCGCCCAACGGCCGAATTTGCTTTTTTGTACATATTTTTCATTAGGAGAATTTCCCAACTCGATTTCATACATTTACTATTCTTAGTGGTGATAGTTCGAAGTCCCGCCCTATGGCCGAATCGAATTGTATGTATTTTTTCTTGCTCAGCAGACTTTTCAAAAGTGTTATAAACACTATTACCACTCGGTACATGGTCATTTTGCCAAAATTTTGTAAGCACTGCAAAAATTAAACTGAATTCATACGTTTTCTAAGTACCTTTATGAAAATAATTTGACTCTCTTCAACATTTTCAATAATATTATCAAATTATTTGCCAATAGTCCTGTCCTTTTGCACCACAAACCACAACTTCCTATTCTTTTTAACTGATTAAAATAATTTTTTACAAAATTATATTTAATTTCAATTAGAAAAATTTTCAAATTTAACAACTCAATAATAATTATTATAAAAAAATCTTGTTATATTAGACTATTAAAATAATGAATCCTTCTTCCTCTTTCCTTAAACTTAATTGAAAAGAAAAGTGAACAGAAAAAAACCGATACATGTGCTATGAATATTGAATCCTTTTTCTTTTTATTTTATACATTCAAAATTAAAATTTTTTTAATATTCTTCCACGACACGGCATATACCAGTTATAATTATTATTGATTGAATGGAAATTGTTTGAAATGTAAGACTATACTCATAGCGGCTGCATTTTTCTCTATTATTATAAAAAAAAATATACCTACTCAAATATTTTTATATATTATTGGAATATCATTGAGAAATTTAAACCGTAACGAATAAAATGAGAAAGGATCAAAAGTAGGTATATTTAGTACGTGTTCTGCTCTTTAATTAAACATTATTTAAAAAAAAATAAAAGTAAAAATAAAATTGAAATAATTTTCGAATCCCTTTTTTTTCAAATTTTAATTGAAAAAATGTAAAATAATATGCGGGGCTTTTGTCTACATAATATACTTACAAATATAATACGCACTTCCTTCCAAAATATAAGTACATATATATAAAATAGGGATTGATTTTAAAAAAATATATAATGATATAGACTTGTATAGCTCTCTATAGCTCCCTTCTCTTATAGACTATACCGCCTTTCTCTATGATTTTATACAAAAATTTAATAATAAAATTAAATTACCCTTGTGAACAGATGTAAATACAGCAATTAAAATAATTTTTTTTAAATGAGTTTGTATATATTTATTCACAAATATATCGTATAACCTATATAATTGATAACTTTTGGTTTAAAATGCGGCTTCTTCTATTTTTATATATAGTTAAAATGTGTTTGTAGTTTACGTACAATGAAATTGAGGCAACCGTATTTTGTGTTTTAATAAATGATGTGAAGGAAAGAAAATGACAATGATAAATTTTTACACTCTTTATTTTGTACATTAACAAAGTATTAAAGAATTTTTCTCTTATTTTTGTTTTTGTTTTTTTTTTAAATATTTTACATGATTTCTGAGAGTTTATTTTTACCATTTTTAAAATAAAATTTTGTTATTTTAAATATTTTAATGTAGTACCTATTTGAGGGAGGGAGGGAAAAAGGTACATTTTAAAAATTGATTTTTTTTTATTAAATTTTGTATTTTAATTTTTTAATTTAAATATTTAAATAAATGTAAAATATTTTGATAAAATGAGATCTTTAAGACAAGAACAGAATTTTAAATTAAAAAAAAAACTTCATGGCTTACAGCTTTGCTTCAGATGACTATCCCATTCTGTATTTCTGAAATACTCCCACATGTTCCATATGCTCTGTGTTCCACATTATATGTATAACCATCACAGAGAGAAAATTCGAATATTTTTTTTATGAATTTAAATTTTTGCAAAAAATTATCAAATGTTCAAAAAGGCCAATCGATAAACTCTTAAAATTTTAAAGATTTCATTAATTATCTTGCTTAAAAGCTTGATTTCATATACTTATATGCTTTCAAAAAATTTAAACTGTTATACGGTTTTTTCTTTTATAATGTTGAACACTGATGTATTGTAGATCATGCTATTGTTGATAAATATAGCTAAATAATTTAATTAATATACCTATAGCCTATAGGCACTTGCTCAAATTTAAGAATAAATTTATTTATTTTTGCCTCAATAACAGGAAATATTTTGCAATATGGGAATTAAGCAAAAAATTTAGAACAACCAAAACTAAAGAATCTTGATTCGAATAATAATCAACATTAAAATTTAATTAAGTATTCAAGATTTTTAGATAAGATAGTAGAAGATAAGATCCCTGAGATTTTTTAACAGTTCAAAAATTTCTTTCTCTTAGTACCATACCTCTTGACTAGAATCACATGTGCCATACACACAAACTATGCTCAAAATTATTGTATTCTTACACTGTTTTAAATAAAATAAAATTCACTCTACAATATAAGCCATTCATACAATTATTTCGAGAAACGAAAAGAGTTTCCATGTCAATATTTTATTTTTTCTTAAAAAATTTACTTTAAAACTTTTATAATATAATCTATTTATTTTTTCCTATATATATTACAAAATATTTTGCATAAAATAAATAAACTAATATTATATGAAAAATTTTATTTTTTCTAATAAAATTATGGTAATTTTGGCTTTGTTCTATTGTATAACAGATACAAAGAAGAGTATATATTTAAAGAATATTAAAGTAATATGCATATGAATTTATTATTACAATATGGTATGTGTGTATAACAATAAACAAACATATCCGTATACGTACTTAATGCTTAAATTACAAAAATATTAATTTTATATAGAGAAAAGCTTCAAAATTTATTCAAATTTAAAAAAATATAATAGAAAATAAAATTATTTTGTTACATAAAAAATTTTTTTTTAATTAATATTTAAAAAATTTTCGTTTAGATGCAAATTGAATTATTTATAAAAAATATTACAATTAATTGAATATTCTAAGATGGCAAAAGAGAAATTATATTTAAGAATATTGTGAATTTCAAGCAAATCAAATTGAAATTTAATTTTTAATTTCGAAATGTCTAAATAATTCATAACACAACACTAAGAGTTTTGGTTTTTAATTTAATTACTAACGTTATAATTGAAAAAATTTATTTAATTTTGTTTTAAAAATAATGCATAATTCATGATTTAATTTAGTTAAAATATTTAACAATAAATCATAAATATTAAAAATTTTCTTTGTTTTTTCTACTTAAAATCTCGTGAAAAAAACATGTCCAACTAAATTTAATACCATTTTGTTAATACTTACACAAAATTAAAGAAAAAACAAAGTCTTGCCATTGTCCTCATCAAATTTATTAAATTAAATCGGGTGGTCAGATTGGCCTGGAATCGAGATTTTACCGAAAAATAAGTCTTTCGACTTGATTTATTCGGAATATTACCATTAATTCTGATGCTAGCCACTTCGCCTTTTTACATTACAAATATTCAATATTATTGTATTAAATTTTAAAAAACTTACCACATTTCAAATGAACTGTGGTGTATTTGCTAGTTTTGTAACATACCATAATAACGGGATTTCATTCTATTGTTTCAACAAGTTTATTACTGAAAATGGGAATTTTCTACTCTATGACAAATTATTAAAGCGCTTAAATTAAAGTAAAATTTAAAATTTGTTCATACAAATTTCTGCTCTTGAGCTTTACACCACTCTTATTATTCATTCTTTTAAATTAATTCATCTATACTTAGTGGTATTAAGTCCATAAAATGTTGTTATCTTTCTGTAATGTTAAACTTATCTAAAAACTAAAAATCTTCATTGTTAAATTTCATTAAGAAATTTCCCCTGCGGAAAAACTTTTAATTGAAAAAGAAAAGAAGTTGACATGCGCACTACCACCATCTTTTATTCATTTTTTGAAGTTCTTATTATTTTTTTCTCAATTTTAAATTTTTACCATAAAGAAGGGAGCAATTTTTATGAGTAAAACGTCAGTTAATACAAGGATATTATCAGGTTTAGATGTTCCAATTTTTATACTCGATGTATAGTTAAAATTAAGGAATTGTTTTTTTACTTTATAATTAATTTTTGGAAAATAATGCAAATGCAAAGGACTGAATAAAATGATTGCCTTTATTTTTTAAAAATTAAATTAAAAGGATATTATAGTGTTTTTTCTCTATAATATAAAATTGAGAATAAAATTTTAATTTTAAAATTTTGGTAAAAATCAATATTCACTATTTTAGTATGATAGACAGAAAAATAGAATTAATTTTTTGTTTTCTTTTTTCTATATTTTTTTTTTAGGTCATAACCCCACAAAAATGTGGTGATGTTTATTTATATGATCTATTACCATCACCAACAGGATTAAATCCATTGAATATTTATCAAAATTTCGCTCAAATAATGGCTGAACAAAGTACATATGATACACCAAAACCGGCAACACCAGTTAATTGTGACACACCAACTGGTAATAATTCATTAAAAAATCCATTATGGATTAAACCAACACCATTAATGTTATCATCAAATCGAAATGATATTTGTTCATCACCATCGACACCAATGAATAATTTATCGGGTGCATTAACACCATCATCAATAATAAGGCCATCAATAATTGATGATTCATATGATATTCCAAAGCCAATTAGTATATTACATCAACAGAATATGACACCAAGCAGTTCAAATTCATCATTATTGACATCTGATTTAAGTCTTTCATTTCCATCATCAAATCGATCATCAATGGCACCCGATTATGACATACCTAAGAAGAATCCAATAAGAAATCAAAATCAAATATCATCATCATCGTCATCATCTTCGTCGTCATCATCATCATCGGGAAATCATCAGCAGTTACAAAGTACTTATGATTCACCACAGCCAAAAACACCACAATCAATTATAAATAAATCATTGTTATCAACACCAGCTGTAACACCACTAGTCCCAACCAAAGAACTTCCATTAGAATTACCATCAGCTCTGGAAACATTAGCAACATTACAAACCGAAGCAACAACTGCAATAACAAGGTATGTGAAAATTTCAAAAAAAAAAAATTTTTTTAAATTTTCAAAAAAATGTGAAGTCAAACCTGGTCAAACTAAATTTTAATTTCATTATTTCTTTTTTACAGAGTATTAGCATATGTTACTTCAAATTGGAGAGAATCTGAAAAATTAGAACCAATATTAATGGATCTAAAATTGGCTATACAACGTTTAAAAACAGCATTACATGATTTAACTGAATTTTGTGAAGGAGCATTAGGAAATGCATCAAGATCTGATGATAAATCATTAATAATTAAATTAAAACCATTGGTTATTGCATTAAGAGCAGCCGATAAATTATTACATGAATCAACGAATAAAATTGAAATACGTGGTTGGACAATTGAAACATTATCAAGAGTTGAACAAAAAACCCAAAGCCCACCAGATGCATTAGATCAATTAATTTCATGTGCACAAACTTTAACAGAAGATGTAAGACAATCAGCATCATTTATACAAGGAAATGCACCATTATTATTTAAACGTATACCATCATCTCAACAACAACAGAATCAACAACAACCAACAACACCAACTGGTAGTTTAAATAGTAATGAATGGGTTCAAGATTATGATTATGTTAGTTTTGAATCAAAAGATTCAGCAGCTAAAAAGAATTCTGAATTACGTGAAGCAATACCAGCTAATTTAAAAAATAAATTTGATAGTGTTATTAAAAATGCTGAAACAAATGCCATGAACAATGAAAAATTAGAATTAGATCCAAATGATAAATTAGTTGTTAAATATTATGCTGCACAAATTATAACACATATGGGTTATTTAACACAAGCAATTGATTCATTTTTAGATACTGTTGAAAAAAATCAACCACCAAAATTTTTTATAGCCTATGGGAAATTTGTTGTTTTAAGTGCACATAATTTAGTCAGTATTGGTGATATTGTACATCGAAATGTTAATAAACAGGATTTAAAAACACGTATTGAACAATATACTGATTCATTAGCTGAAGCATTAAAAACTTGTGTATTAAAATCAAAGAAAGCTGCACAACATTTTCCAAGTGTTGTTGCTGTACAAGAAATGGTTGATTCTGTTGTTGATATATCACATTTGGCATCAGATTTAAAAATTTCAATGTTACAAGCTGTTCAGTCTTAAACAAATAAAAAAATAGAGAAATTCAGGAAATTTGAAAACGGTACTATTAAATTAAAAATATATAAAAATATTTATATATTTTGCGCATTCAATTTTTAAGCATATTTAATCATAAATTTTTATAATATACGAAAATTAAAAATTATCGTACACTTTTTAATAGCGAAATTGACCTACAATATAAAATTTTGTAGTTGATAAAAGGAGAAAAAGTGCTTACCATTATATACCAAAGAAAACTCAAAAAAATTTTTGTACATTTAAAGCGATTTAGCTGTTTATATGTGTGGTTTTTTAAATGAATAATATGCTAAACGAAATTTTTCTATTATAACCTTAGAATGCTGAAAAGAAAAGTTTTAAAATATAATTTTGATTAAAGACAAAATTGCAGCCAAAAATTATAACAAATTCTTTTGCGGATTTGAGATTTCAAATTGAAATTCTATGAAATCAAATTGAAATTAGATGTTATTAATTTTGATTTGATTAAAATCTAAATTGAAATCATGATATACCAAATATTTATTCTATAGGTACAATTCAATGTGAAAACTTTCAATTCATGCTTGCATTAAGCTTTAATCTTCTTAATTTTTTAAACTTTAATCTCTTTCTTATTTATACAAGTGTTAACATTCAAGTGTAGCTCTTGTTTTTATACAATATTAAAGTGTAACTCCACAAATGCATGAACTTGAACTTAATTTTCGAATTCTCGTACAGTTGGCCCTAATTTTAGACCAACGCAATCACTTATTTTAGCTATTGCAAGCTTAATAAGTATGCACTGCATAGGAATGATTAATTCAGTATTTAACACTCCAAAACTCGAAAAATATTTTTTAGTATTACGAGTTGAAGCGGAAATAAATCATTGAATCGATTAACTTCTTCATTACGATTATATTAAACCTACAACAATAGTATAAATTTAAGACTCATAATAAAATTAATTGGCAAATTACTTAATAAAATTAGAAATATTGTAAAATAATAATTAAATTATAGTAAATTTATATACAATACAAAAATTTATATGCGAAATTCAATTTTGATACAATAAAATTTTTATAACAACGATAAAAAGCAAAAAGCACAAAGAAAAATGTATTAGGTACAATTCATATATACTGCCAAATTATAATCTAGATTGTAGGTGCTTAAAATAGAAATAAAATAAATTTAACAAAAATATTCATGCATAAATACAATATGTACACACACAAAATACCTTATAATCATTATATACAACTTATTTATGTAATTAAGTGATTATTCAACAAAAAAATTTCAATGCCCAGTAAATAATTTAATTCTAAAGAAAATTGTTGTTATTGTTTTAAATTTCCAAAACATTAAAAAAAAAAAAATTCACCAAAAAATCAATTAAACTGATAACAATAATCTAAAGTACACTTTAATTTAAAAAAAATAATTAAAAATAATTATGAAAATAATTTAAAACAAACCAGTTACAATGCAATATTTATTCATTATAAAACATAATAGTTGTACCTACCTACTTTGAGTACATTATTCTCATAATTAATATTACACTAATTATCTTATAGGTGAAATAAATACATTTGAAAACTATTCCATTAAATCTAAATGCATAGTACTTTAGAATTCTGTAAAATTTTTTCTAAATTTAAATATTTTATTAAATTTGAGAAATTGGTATTATTCTAGTGAAAAAGACATATTCGCCTATATTCTATCGGGATGATATTCATCATATCTAGGCTATGTGACAATAGAATTCATCAAGTTACTTGACTAACAAAAGTTTTTGCAACTTTTGTATACTTAACTGCTATATGGAGCTTAAAACGTTTCAAACGAAAGAATTATGAAAGACGATTTCACACGAAGTTCACAATTTTAATTGTGCTTCACTTTTGTTTGATTTTGCGACTATTGACTGAGTTGTCGCATAAGAAATTAATTTTAACTGTAATTAGAATATTCGCTAAAATTATATTAATTTTTTTTGCTTGTTTTAAAGCCAAAGAAAATTATCATAAAATCTTAATTTCTAATTATAACTGGAACACTATCCGAACTGAATTTTACACTGAAAGAACAATAATTCTTATTTAAATTCAAATACATAAATAATTTATACGAGACAAACAGAAAACACGGACAAAAATATAAACCACAATATTTAAATAATTAATTAAATTATTTAAATTAAATTTCTTTTTTTTTTTTTTTAAATATGTGATATATAAAAAAAAAATTTTTTTTTATAATAATAATTATGTTATATTAAATGTATGTATAACAGATTATATAAGTTTTGATGATTAAAAGAACACAAAGTTACTAGATTATTACAAAAGAAATAAAAATATTCTATAAGGATAGACACACAAATTTATAAATATACATAATTACATATTATATAAGCACAAACATATTAATATATTATATGTACAATAATTATAATAATTATGTAATAATTAAAATTTATGTTATTTAATAATATAATTAAAAAAAAAAAACAAATAAAGTTGAACGAGAAAATAATATTAATATTAAAAAATTAAAAATGTGTTTAATGTTTTAAGCGATTAAAAATTAATTATTAAAAATTTTAAAATTATATATATGTAGTTAATTAAATTAAAAAAAGAAAAAAATATTAATAAAAACAAAATAAAAATTAAATAAATTCGTGTAAATGTAAAATAATATGTATAATTGTTTTATAAATTATATACAAGAATAAAAAGAAAAATTAAAATTATTAAAAAAAAAATGTATTTAAATTTAATATTAGAAGTATAAAATAATTATTAATATAAATTAAAATTATAAAACACAATTTATACAATATTATAAGATTTTTTTTTTTTTTTTTAGAAATATTTTAAAAGAAAATTTTAAATGTTTTATTTTAGATTTATATTATTAAATATTTCATAATAGTTTTTTTTTTTTAGTAAAAACAATAAAATTTAATATGAAAATATTATTATACAAAAAAATAAAATATAACACATACTTTTATTAAAATAAAATAAATTAAAATAAAGAAAATTGAAAAATTTTATTAAAATATAAAAATTATATAATGAAAAAATGCATTAAAAATAAACAAAAAACGATTTCAGGCAAAATTAGAAGTGCCAATTAACTTTTAAAATATACAAAAAAAAAAAAAAAATACATATTAATTATACATGTATGGAAAACAATATTTAAAAAAATAAATAAAATTTTTTAATTATATAAAATATCATGGCTTAAAACACTTATTAATATTTCGAGAAATTAAAATAAAAGTAAATGAAAATTCAAAAATCGTTTTGATAAAAATAATTATAAAAAAAAATTATTTAAAAAATTTAAATAAAATTAAAAATAAAATGCATAAATAATATTATTATGTAAAGTCCATTTGAGAATATCGTAATCGATTAAAAAATGTTAATTATCATTGGATTATTTAAATTAAAAACAAACAGTATAAAAATAAATATTAGATATAAATACATTTATAATAATATTTAATAAAAATTTTGATGGAGTAATAAAAATTATTAAAAAAAAATTATATATATATATATACATATATAAAATAATTGCTAATAAATTATTTCTGTTTTAATTCCATATTAAAATTACAAGAAAAATTTAGCATGTACATATGTGAAATTTACGCAGTTGATCTCAAAATTGTATTTAAAGACACTTCTTTTACTATGAGATTCTCTTCTGTTATTATGACCCTGTTTTGTTTTCCTTCTGTTCTTCTAATTCGGGGGTTAGTTGGCAATATTTCAATACCTGCTTTTAAAACTGAAAACTTGTAAAGTTGTTTTCTATCTAAACAATTGTTTTCTACCTGAAAAGTGCATGAGAAATAATGATTTAATTATACCTAATAAAACTAGATTTCATATAAACTTCTGAAATTGAGATATTTAAATAATTATTAGTATTACCAGATAGATAAAAATGAATCTGGTATTTTTACATACTAACAATTATTAGTTATACTTCTTTAAAGATACTACAACTAGTATGTAAATACTGTAATTATTATTTGTTTGAATAAGCCACATTTATATCAGCTTTTATTTGCTGTTTATGCGTTACTACTCTTCATTCTTGGTAAGCGTTGCTCATTCGGTAGTTTAGAATATCTACCTACCTATTTATGCCATGAATAATACCTTTATTCATTATGTACCTACATAAGAATCAAACATTCGACATTCTGTTTTTTTGATTCAATAATTATAAATAAATAATTAATTTTTCCTTAAAACCTTTAAGATTCAAAAACAACAAAAATAGATTTTTGTTTACCGTAATCATAGGTAATATTATTTATTTCGTTTTAGTACACTATTATACCAAAATTTCCGACAAAAAAAAAATTTTTACTTAATTACTATTTCTAAATTAGGAATTAGAAATAAAAAAGAACTTCCATCTAAATGCCCTATGCAATCTTGTTTTTTTTTTTTTTTTAATTTTTTTTTTTTTACAATTTGTTTATTTTTTTAAATTCTAATCAACAACAGTGACCATCATGCATACTATGATCATGTGATTTATGTGAATTTTTACTACCACCAGTTACATTTCCAGTTACATCATTAACCCTATCAACATGAATTTTTTTAGCTATTTCACTTAAATCTCTTCTCATTGAATATGCATCTTCACCATCAGCATAATATTTTGGTTCAATTTCCAATATTTTAAAACCTAATGAATTTGTATATAAATTCAATGCTGCACGATTACTTTTACGAACATGTAATGAAACATAATGAGCATCAAAACATTCTACCATAGCTTGTGAGGCTTGATTCATTAATTTTTGAGCCAAACCTAATCGACGATATGATCTTTTAACAGCTAAAGATGTAATATGACCATGTTTACTTTCTTCACCAGGTTCAGGCTCTTCCATTTTCGCTAAAACGTATCCAACAATATTACCTTTATCATCTTCAGCAACATAACTTAGTTGAGGCCAGGTTAATCCATGATAAAAATAATATTTCATTTGATAGTTTTCTGGTAAGCATAATAAATTACAATGTTGCATATTCATTAAATCTTCAGGTCTTGCACAACGTATATTCATCTTTGTGTTCGATTTTATGTAACTTTTTTTAATTAATTATGTTAGAATTTATTTATAAATTATTGTATTAAGAAGAAATTAATTTTATTCCGGTTTTAGTCCCTACGAATTTTTTTTGTTTTAGATACTGTTTTATCTTTCCGATCTATATTTGATGAGTCGTCGTTACTTTGCCCTAATAGTTCGCGTACTAATCGAAATTTTGATAAGAATGCCTTCCAAATAAGAAACCAACCTAAAAAAGAGAATTTTAAATTAATTATGTTATAAGAATTAATAAATTAAATTTAATGTAATATTTTTAATGTTGCATTTATAAAAAAAAAGTCCAAGATACTTAAATCACGTAGGTACTTATCGACTACACACATTTCTACTCGAATAAATTTTGTTATACCTAATTCTTATTTAAAATATTGTGTAAGTGAATAGCTATACAATAAATATTTTTTACAAACAATTATTTAATGTTACTCTTTTACATATAATTCTATTTATAATCCCATATTTCGAAACATGGAAATATTTATAAATTTTGCGTGTCAGTGAACTTTTTTAATTTTCTTAGATTCTTAGAATTTATTTAGTATCTTACCGAAAACAATTACAAGAAAAACTAGAAATATGGAAGTTGCTACAGTTGCCCCTAATTGTATTGCATTTAAAACACTCATTTGGAAAGTTTAATTAAATTAAATATTTAAAATTAAAAAATACTTAAAACAGAAAATCGAATTATTTCTTTAACTTCTTTTCTCAATGACATGTCAATACTCTCTATTCTGTTTGATAACACATTCCATTTTTCACTCCACATTTCCACAACTTCTGCTTAACGTAAAATGTAGTGTTTCCGTTTTAGTATAAAGACATAAAAATATTACGCAAAACTATAAAATTAATGTGAAATAGATAACATTTCTGATGCAATTCCAGATATATAATTTCTATCGCGAATCAAAAAAATTTTAATATTAATGTAATTTGATTATTATTATAAGTTGAAATTGATTTAGTTTGATCATTTGACGAAGATACACAAAAATCAATAAAATTATTTCTCTATTTTAAAAAAAAAAATAGAACAACAAATGTTTTCTAAAGTACACATTTAATCCATCAAATTTGATCTCTAGCAAATAAAACATTCACTCTGACTTATTCTATTTGCTCAATACAAATATTTTGTAGATTTCGGTTTATTTGCAACGGTCACACTTTTATATACGTTTCAGTTTATATCACACTGCACATATAAAATTTGACAATAATTATGTCAAATTGTCAGAAAAATCTGTTTGCTGCACATATTTACAGAAATATAAACAGAATCCAGTACAGACACTAAGTATTTTATCCACCACAAATGGAAACTGTCAATTGTCATTTTAATATACAATTATACAAATCAGAAAATTCCTATTTTGGAATATTAATACTAAATTAAACTAATCAGAACTTATTCATGGAATTTTTAAAAATTATTTTTAAATTAAACTAATTTTTAACTAAACATTTAAGGTACTAAGTTGACATTAAGTTAAAATATTCATATTGCTTTACTTAGTTTGAGGTTATGTGCTATTAAAGTAATTTTTGCAATTATAATACAGATTTATCACTAACCTTAACGTTTTTTTAAAAGAATACAATTTTAACCAACAAGAAATTAATTCCTTTAATATTTTGTATTAACAACTTCACCAAAAATTTATACAATTTATAATCCTTTTATGTAAAACAAAAAAGTACCAATTCTTAAACACATTGAAATGTCAGAATCCAAACTTCAAATTGGTAGGTGGTGATTTAAGTTGTTAAAATGATTACTATGCAATTGTCATAATCAATTGTGAAGTATTACCATAGTATATGAAATTATGTATTCTTTTCTTTCATGTGAAAAATTTTTTACTGTCCTTATAGATAGAATTAAAATTTTTCAAATGATATTTGTGTTACTTCAAAAATTTTTGAAATTTTTCCGGATATTTTTAGCATTCGCGCCATAACTATGCGAGATTAATAACCTTAAATTATTTGCAACCTAATAGAACTTCCTAAGGGAGCTTCTTTAGGAAGGTCCGTTTAGGAAGTTCCATTAGGTTTTCCTCTAACGGATAGAAAATATTATCTACGCAATAAACGAATGATTGTGGTATATAAAGTTCTGAACTTTTTGCTGAGTCGAATATAGTTATGTATATAACACAAGCTCTTACTATAATTTCAGTGTTTGTTGAAACAAGATTTCAAACACTTCTCTAGTATTTCTTGGGTGCATGGAAAATTCTTATTAAACATCCTTATTCTTAAAAATGTTCTATAACAGTATTAGCGCAATTTTCATTTCTGAATTTTGTTTGAATTTGACAATTTTCGCAATATAAACTTATTAGTTATTATTTGTATACGATTAAGCTGTTTTAGATTTTGACATTATTTTGATTTAAGTATGTAGATGTTACGTATGCTACATTATTTTTCAAAATATAAAATTGGAATTTCATACTTTACACTATTATATACATTTATATAAAGCATTAATAATTCTTATTTTTAAAATGTATGGTCACTTGAGAAAATATTCGCCAACTCAAAGGAGTTTACAACTTTTGATTTTTTACGATTTCACCATTAGAAATTGACATTTGGTCATTGACATTGTCATATTCACCACTGTTGATTATTTTATTTTTTGGTTAACACATGTAATTTCTCAGTTTTGTGTGAAAGATTGTGTAAATGATAAAGCTGTTTTGTGAAATTAAGTAATATAGAATTAGTAAAGAACAAAAATAAAATTTTTCAGAATGGCTAGTAGTGCTATTGGTTTAATGTCAAGAAATAAACAAATTCCCATATTATTTACACATTACAAAAGGTTTTTAAAGCCGACTTTGACATCACATAGAAATAATGCAACTGAAAAACGTAATGAAGAACCTGAAGTACAACCAGCACAAGATAATGTACAACAACAAGATCTTAGTAAAGAAAATGAAACTCTAACGAATGAAGTGAAGCAATTGAAAGAAAAAGGAGACGAACTACTTGATAAATATAAGAGATCATTAGCCGATAATGAAAACTTGCGTACTAGATTAACAAAGCAAATACAAGACGCTAAAATTTTTGGTATTCAAGGATTTTGTAAGGACTTAATTGAAGTAGCTGATATTTTAGAAGCTGCCACAATTTCAGTACCGAAAGAAGAAATTTCTGATAAAAATCCACATTTAAAAAGTTTATACGAAGGTTTAACAATGACTTCGAAATCTTTACAAAGTGTATTTCAACGAAACGGTTTAGAACAAGTGAATCCGGTAAATGAAAAATTCGATCCAAATTTCCATGAGGCACTGTTTCAAAAAGAAGATGCTGATATTAGTCCAAATACTGTTATCCAAGTTAGTAAAGTTGGATATAAATTACATGGTAGATGCATAAGACCGGCTTTAGTGGGTGTGTCGAAAGCTAAATAGGATACTGTTTATTTTCGAAAATTTTCTATATGAAATAAATATATTAAACGGTTAAACTTTATTAAATAATAAACCACAAACACTTTTGTTTTATAATTTATATTCATTTAATTAGTTAATAAAAAAGTTCAAAAACCAGTAGATAAATATCTGTTATTTCAAAGACAAGTAGCATTTTTAGCATATAATTAAAAAGATTTGCTTGTATATACAACTTGTATCGACCCCCCATTCACAAAAGAGCTACTTTTAACGATTTCAATGAATTCGATTAAATTTACTAGGTTATAGTAAAATTCACTCTATTAACGTTCAAACATAATTGTTTTATTTTCATTTTACAAGCATGAAAATAATGTAAAGTGCATTATTGAACTTTTATTATTAAATTGTAATCAATAGCTGATCATTCTCCCTCATCTTCGCCATCATCATATTCTGATAAATGTGATAACTTTAACTCTTTGACCTTACCCTTATTTGTATTTGATTTGTCTATTAAATTTTTCTTCTTTTTAGTATTTTTCTGTCCAATAACATATTCAGGCATTACAAATTTAGAGCTTTTAAATTTTGGTGTTTGAGTTTCCACATCATCAACTTCATCATCTTTTGATCTTATGGAACGTTTTAGTGTAGCTGTCTTATTAAAAACTATTTTTTCCTGAGAATCATTACTATTTAGTTCATTTTTATCATCTTCAGTTTTTTTAATTTCGTATTCTTGCATTTCTTTTCGTTTTTCAATTTCTTTAAGAAAAGCAAATGCCGCTGAAGTATTAGCTTTATCTGAAATGTCTGCATCTTCTAATGAATATTTTGTCCATTTATGTGGATTTACCTAAAAAAAATGAGATCATGTATATTATAATTTAAGACATATTATGTAAATTTACCTTATAGTCTGGATCTGTTCTTGGCTTCAAACATTTTTGTATTGGTAATTCTGGTTTTTTAAAAATACTTTCTCTACCTATTAATCTTTCTACAGGTTTATCTGAAGCTATTAGCCTTTGTTTCTGACGTCTGATTGATTTTGTTTCATCTTCCTTGTATTCTTTCTGTTCTAAAATTGTTCCTTTAAGTTTTTTCTCCTCATTTTCTAAGAGTTCAAAAAGATTTTTCCTTTTTCTTTCAAAATCTTGCATTTGATTATTTTTCTTTTATATTTTCTATATAATATAAAATTTCAAACAATTGCAAAACGCAATTTTAATGTTATTAAATTTATTTAAGTTTCCTTAAAATTTATTTGATATGTCAAAAAAATGTCAAAAAATAATAATATGTATTAGAGAAAAAAAAATGGGAAATTATTTACGATAAGCGTTTTTGGATAAAAGTGGTAAATTTTGGTACTCTTATATTCTTAAGTGACTAGTAGCGAAAACAATTAGTTGATTTTTTAAAAATGTTATTAACCGTATAGACGGCTCCCTTTTTATATTTCTACAACTCTGTCTCCTGACCAATAATACAAAATTTTCAACTCATACACGTGTATACATTGCAAGCAAAATCAAGAATAAGAGAAATTGGAGAATAAGAGAAGAAATTGGAGAATAAGAGAAGCGAAATATGTCCTTCTTTTTAGAGGCATTACTATAAACTTAACAAATATTAAGAATATATAGGCGGCCGCATTGCAAAATTTAACACAAATAATAATTACTTAATAGCTTTAATATAATATTAAAGCAATTAATAATGTGTAGGTGCAAAAAGAAAATGTTAAATTAGTTATGTAACACAAAAATAAAAGTAAAATGGGCTATTGCTTCAAATGTCGGCAGGTACATACGTTACAACAGGGTTAATAACCAATGCCATTTGAAAGAAATTGTTTTTTCTCAACATATTTCAACTACCTACTAATAGATGTCACTTCATCTTAAATTAAAATTTTCTATATCCTAATCAATCTTTTTCTTTTATGTTTTTTTTTTTTCTGAAATGCCACAGATGTTGTTATCGTAAAAACTTAAAACTTTGCCGAAATTTGAGTGAACAGCAAAAACAAAAAACAGAAGAAAAAATAAAAAAAAAAGAAGAAGAAAAAATTAAAATAATAATTTTATTTAAACATTTTTTTTTTCGCTAAAAATCTTAATATTTTCATAAATGTGATTCATGTCATTTATTAAAACTATTATAAAATAATTTAATATTAAACTTGATGTGAAAATATCGTATTTACATCAATAATATTTTGAAGGAAATTATGTATGTGTAAAATTAAATTTATATGTACTTAATATGAAAAACGCAGAGAATAATAATTCTATCATTTAGAAAAAACATATATACATACATATATATATATAAAACAGTTGTGTATATTCGGTGCCATACAGTTTTATAATAAAATATTCTATTTATCTTGTATACCTACATACATACTTTAATATAATCATAAATTTTGTGAAAATGTGAATGTGTATATAATTTTATGCAAAAATAATAATTATGTTCAAATATAAAATAATAATATAAATTTATTTTATATACATACATACAATAAAATAATTATTTTGTATGATTATTTTATCAAAAAAAAAAAAAAAAATATCTATTGAAAATGTTGGTTTCGGTTTTTCGCGGGGCAATTCTTTCTATAATTCTTTCATATGAGAAAAGAAAATAACGAAATTTTACAAGTGTGTTAGTTTAAATAACCAGTAGGAAGAAGAAATAAACATAAAATATTAAAAAAAAATTGTGAAAATAACATTGTAGGTACCAACAACCATACATACATACAAATAGAGAAAATATAAACAAAACATTTTTAAATTAAATTTTGGTGAGTTTTTTCATTTTTAAAAAATTTGAATTAAAATTTTTATTATTATTGGTAAAATTTTTCAAAATTTTTTATACGAGTACAACCTACTTTTAATTAATTTCAATATTCTGTTATATGAAGGTTATTATAACAAAATTATTATATACATTTTTACCACCCACCACAATTTAATCCTAAAAGAAAAAGCAAATGTAGAAATTTTTTTGTTTAAAATTCTTAAACATATGTTTTTGACACAATTGTGTTATATTAGTATAACCGTTAATATTTAAGTTTATTTCTATATATGTATATATATGTATAACAGTATAATATTTAATTGTGTTTGTATTTTATTAAAAATGTATAATTATGAGTAAAAAATGTAAATATAAGAGAGCGGTTATGACATAATCCTTGTTAAATTCCATAAATATTATATTTTCGATGTTTTATAAAAGAAAAAAAAAAATTTTAATAGAAAATTTTTTCTAAAAATAATAAAAAAAAAAATTAATTTCCTTTTTTATTATAATCAAAATAAACATTGACAATAAGAAAATTTTTTTAGTTTTACAGTTATAATATTTTTTAGTATAGTGGAGGTCAAGGGAATTTTTTTTTTATGACAGTATGGTAATAAAAACAAAACATTGAAAGAAAGTGTTAGTAGATAAATTTTATATGACAGTATAGAAAAGGAACAGTGCTGTTATACATAATATGTGTATAAGATTAGAAGAGGTACCTGTTTATATTCATATTAATATTACATTTTAATTAAATTGATTTATTTATTTTTTATCTGGAAAAAAATTTAATTATAATTCTTCGGAGAAATTTTATAGAATCTTATTTAAAATTATGGTGAATAATTCTATTTTCGGAAAATTTTATTTAACTTCATCTAATATCTTCGCATATAAATAGGAGCTTATTATTAATTGTGTGTCAAAACTTACAGCCTAATCGTGTATCTTGCATTTTTACTCACTCTTTATTCACTTTCAAATCAGAATTTTCCGTTTTTTTAATGGATAATTTATTTTTTCAATAAGACTACTCATTTTTCATAATTAGATTTTTGCGTTTTTCTTTCCCAAAATATTGACTGAACGTCTCACTTTCAAAATCAAAGTGAATAAATTTTGTACATACTCGTATTTTAGAAAAAAAACGAGACATGCAATACGGAATAATTCTCACTCGAAATTTACATTATACAGATATATGATAGTTATTCACTCTCTTCCCACTCTTTGCCGAGTAAAATAGCGAAATAGACGATCAGGTCCTTATTCTTTTCATTTATATATATGTCACTTTATGTCATAAAAGCTTCGTAATCCTTATTTTTAAAATTTTATGTCAAAACTTATTATTTAGTAGAAAATTACTGATAAACTCACTAAAATTAATTAATATTAAAAATTTATTCAATTAATTAATATTAAAAATTGTCATAAAAATTGTCATAAAAATTCTTAAAATGAAAAAATTTATATTTTATATTTATGTTGTTTAAATATGTATGTATGTTAAATGTACTTTTATTTTATGTTATAATTAAAAGCCGAAAAAAAAATATGGTAAAAAAATATTTTTAATTTTTTTTTTATTTTCAATAATTTTAATGGTTTCAGTGTGTCAAATTAAATAATTTGACAATTACAATATGTAATAGAAAATTAAAATTTTACAGATTTTGCAGGTAATTTTATTATAAGACGGTAACACTCCTATAAAATGTTCGTCTGCTAAATTTATTTTTTTCTCTTTTTATAGGCTATTTTGTATTCATCTCTCAAATAATGAAATTTTCTCTCTCTTAACGTTTTATCATTAAATTTGTGACATTTCTAATTCTAGTTTTCTACTTTATCACGCCTTTACTTTTATTCTACAATTGTAGCGTATTTCTTGTATTTTCATTTAACAAAGACAATTTTTAAGAACTATGGAACCGATTACGGTACTTATATGATATTACGGTACTTATAAAGTATAATTTATAGAAATTTATAGAATTATTCAATTAAAATAAAACCTATATAATTTTTGGGTCCTACGTTTTTTAATATTAACACTACACCACTGGATTCCTTTTACTTTCGTTTTCTTTTTATTTAAAATATTTTTATTAAATTTTCAATGTGATCAAACATACACAAATAAAAAATTCTATACTTATATAATTTATATGTATGTATGTATATAAGAATAAATTTCTATTTTATACATACATACATACATTATTTGTAGAAAAGTATATTTTCATTTCATAGTTATAAAGTTTGTTTATACTTGATTCAAGGTAGCGGCTAAAAAAATTTTCATCTTAATTTTTTTTATTTTGCTTATAAATTTTAATTACACCTGCAAAGTTGTTGTTTAAATTAAAAATTTTAATGAAATGCTGCAAATATTCTTCATTTAAAAAAAAATTTTAATATTTTCTATAATTATTAATTCTCTATAAAAAATTCTGCTTTCTTTCTACATTGTATATGTATCTACAAACATACACGCACACATTCATACATATTTAAAAAATAAAGAAAATTCTGTATTGCATTATGTGTAGGTATTTGACAGAACACACACAATTTCATATGGTTATTCTATTATTTACTAGATGTCGCTAAAATTAATTTTGTATTTTGCCGTAATTTATGCTATATTCTTTTTGAATGTTTTTGAATGTTTTTCTGTTATAATGTGAACTAATTTTTCAAAAGAAAAAAAGTTTCGACTTTTAGTTTAAGCTGGCCAGATTTCAATTCCATTATTATTATCAGCTAGCTATAAAGAAATAAAATAATATTTCTATTTAAATTCAAAAATTGCACATTAAGTTAATCGTACAGTTGTGCTTGCAAAGTATGAAGAAATATGAGCAGAAAAATCAGTTTAAACAAAAAAGAGAAGATATTTGATAGTTGAAAGGGAGGGTTGAAATATTCGTACGTAATTTGTCCTTAATTAGTGTAATTTTCAGTGTCACATTCAAGTAATAGTTTTTTAATATTAATGACATAAATGTGAAATATTGAAAATTGTTTTGAACTTAAAGGATAAAATCAAATTCTATAGTGATAGTGATTGTAGCTCTCATTGATTTTTGTTCTTCTTTATTTGCGTATCCAATACTGGATGTTGGCGCGTTAAAATAATATTACAAAATATATAATATACAATCTGAACATATAATATGCTGGAATGTACAAAAGATATATTTATGCGATGTTCTTAATTATGTCGCAATTCCTACAATCGCAAACTGCTCCCTATCTCATGCTTTGGTGCATACCAATCACTAACTGTTCCGATTCCGGTCCAATTCCGGATGTTTCTGAGCCAAGACATCCGCTTTCTTCCGACACTACGTTTCCTTTCAATTTTCCCCTAAATAATTAGCTGTAGAAGTTCATACCTTTCGCCTCTCATTATGTGGCAAAAA